GGGGCGGGGCGGGGCGGGGCGGGCCGGAGGGGCCGGAGGGGCCGGGTCTGCAGCCCGAGGGGCTACGGCGCCCTCCTCTGGGCTGTGAAGCTGGACGCGGCCGGGCGTCCGAGGCCCCTGCTCGTCCTTGCTCTGCTCCGCTTCCCTTTTCCTCTCCAGCAGCGAAGTTTGACCGTTTTCCCCGGGCTCGTAAAAATAGTCTCCTTAGATCTGCAGCATCCTGTCCGAGTGTGCCTGCCCCTGCCCCTCCCCGGCGTAGGTCTGGGATCTTGGGGAAAGCGACCTAGTTCCCTATCCCTGCGCCCCCCCAGACCTCTGTCCCACCCCCGTGCTGCCGTTCTTCTTCCGAGACCTTCAGGCCTGAGGCCCCTCCCTCTTCTCTTGCCCCCTTTTTCTTCTTCTCATCAGTTGCTTCTATTTTCTGCATCGTCTCGCCCCCTTGCTTTTTCCTGCCGGATTCCTCTTTTCCTCTGCACCCCTCTTGAGCCACCGTCCCTCCCCGGGTCCCCAGTGGAACTCCAGCAGACCCCCGTCGCCTCGTTGGCTGTCTGTAGAGCTCTCCGCTCAGTCTGTCTCTCCAACTCTCTCCCTCTCTCCATCTGTCTCTTCCCCTCCCTCCCCCTTTCTGCCCCCCACCCCCCTCTTTAGTCATTTAAAAAAAGATTTTTGTCTTCCTGAGAAGTTCGCTTAAAAGGGTTTCCATGGGAACAGTGAGGGAGATGAAGGCAGAGAACAGATCTGCAGCCAAGGTGCAGAGAGACGCCCTCGTCCCGGAAACCCCCTCGCCACTGCCCCCTTCCCCCGCATTTCTCCCCCAGGATCTGGGGTCCAGTCTCCCATCCCTGCAGTCCCAGGTTGACCCTTTTCTCCTACCTGCCCTGCAAACCTTCAGGGACCTAGGCTTCCAGCTTCTCTCTTAGACAGCCAGTGACCTGTCCCCAACCTCACTTCCCTCAGCCGCCTTATGATGGGTCCAGGCCTCACTGCTCTTGGGGCCAGCTCTGGACCTTGGGTGGGTGGTCAAGGATGTGTGTCATTGTCATGGAAACCTTTGACAGTGAGTTGTCGCTAACATAGCTCTCTGAGGCCAAGCATGGTGGTGATAATGGTGATGGTGGATAGAGACTGTAATGCCTGTCACATCCGTGTGTGTGTATCCACGTCTGGTGCATGCGTGTGTGCGCGCGTGTACACCTGTGTACACCTGTGTGCCCAGGGCAAATGGTCACATGCTCATGGAGCACGTTTACCTTGTGGCCTGTGCTTGACTGCTCTGCCCACGTATTTTCCATCGTTTTCTGTTCCCTGGTCTCACAGTGTGGGGTCTCTGGCATGGGTCTCCTGCGACCGGCATTAGGTGGTAGGGTGGTACGTGGACGTGGAGGTTGCTGTCAGGGGCTGCAGTAGGGATTGGGAGGGGCGCCAAAGGTGGAGATAGAGATATAGGTATATAGACAAATAGGTACATAGATATGTAGATAGGTAGATGATAGTATGGTAACAGTGTTTATGAAGGTGGATAGGCGGCGGGGGTCTGTAAAAAGACCTGGAGTGTGCCGAGGGCATGGAGCATGTACAGGGAGCACGGGGTGGTCTAGGCTGTGGGGGATCGGGTCTGCGAAGGTGTTCGCCGAAGGAGGCTGTGGCCTCTCCAGCCCGGGAGAGGTCGCCGGACCTTCAAGGGGCCCTGGAATCCAGGGCTCCTCCTCTGCTGGGTGGAGCCGCGAACCCCTGTTCCCTCTGCGGTTTATTTAGGGGGGGTCCTGTTCGGGAGGAATGGTGGGAGGCCTGGGTAGTTATAGGGGTCCCCTTGTCCCCCTCCCCCGTCTCCCTCGCGCTGTCTCCGGGCGACGGGGCTCGTGACAGAGGCGGCCACGGCAGCAGCGGTCGCCTAGCAACGGCGGCGGGGCCCGGGCAACGGCGGCAGCGCGGGAGCGGCGGCGGAGGGAGCCGTTCCCGCGGCCGTCACCGCGCGGCC